ATAGCAAGAAATAAATGATGAATAACATTAAAAATTATATGAGCAAGAGAACTGTGATAATTGCTTTTTTAAAATTTTGTTTTGTTTTGCTTTGATTTGTTTTATTTTTAAAGCAGCAGTTTAAAAGTGTAGAATTTTCTCCTAAGAAAAAGAATTTTCTCCTAAGACTACCCCTTTGTAGTCAAGGCTGCCCAAACTAGCTCCCTACAGATCCGTATCAACTTCATGGTGTTTTCAGTAAGAACTGCCTGCTAAGAGTGCGCGTTTGCCAAGAATGACAAACTTTGTTACAGGTCACCGGCCTCAGAGCTACTGACTCAGACTCAGTGACTAACTGACACCTCTGAAGAAACTGCACAGAAAACAGTACAGCAAAGGAAACCAGTAATAATTGTGCAAAATATAGTATAAAGGCATCCGAAATATGCCTTTTACACTGTCCTGGAGGTAGAGGTATAGAAAGTCAAACCCACAGCTGTTCGAATACACAGATCCTCAGATGTCCAAAAGCCAACACTATTTATCTCTGTTTTCCTGCCTTCTCCTTCACCCACTGTACTGAGAAAGATAACCTGAAGGAAACATATATTAAAAACCAAAACTGCTATGGCATCTCTTTCATCCCTCTGTTTCCTGAGTTCCAGCCTCAAATTCCTTTTTTCTTAGGTAAATTTCTCTCACCCCCTTGCTTCTCAGGCTTTTTTTCATCTCAAGGCCTTTTCCTGTTTTCTTCTTTCCACACCCTTTGCCTCCTTCTTTGCTATTCTCATTGATCCATGGAGTTTCCCAAGTCCTAGGCTCTCTTCATCTAGTTCTATTTTCTTTCTCCTAGACAATTATCTCTCATTACTCACTCATTGATAATGATCTTTCAAAAGGATCTTGTAAATTCATATCTCCTGCAGTTTTACTGTCCACTTACCTCTTGTATAATCCAGTATAAAACTTGATTTCAAAGGGAAGTGTGGGTTACCAGTGTGCTTTAGCCTTTCTCTTTCCCATAGAGTTCTATGTAAATAATGACAAATTTCCTTCTTCCTTGACTCTATTCAGAAGTTTTGCAAGAAAGGAAGTGAAATAGATCATAGGAGTAATAGTTTCAGTGCCAAAAGGCCAAAGCCACCTTTCATTACAGGCTACGCCCTAAGTCAGACTACATTTTAGCCGTGTACTATTCAACTGACTCTGGATCTTGTATGACTGTAACATGACTTCTGTCTTAGGACTCAGGCTAGAATTTCAAATCTTCAAAGAGAAAGGTATGAAAATAAGAAAAATGTAAGTACATAAATTACCACAGACTATAATAGAACTTGAGAACTTGTTTTTCTCCTGATGAATCATAGGTATTTATGGTGGTTTCACTCAACTGGGCAGACGAGCTCCACCATAGCCACTCTCTCACTCCTCCTCCTCAAAGGGAAAGGGGAAGAAAATACGATGAAAAGGGCTCAAGAGTTCAGGTAGGGACAGAGTTCACTCAGCGATTATTGTCATGGGCTATACAGACTTAACATAGGGAGATTAATGAAATTTATTAATTTTTACTAACAAGCTAGAGTAGTGAGAAACAAACACAAATAAAGCGAACTAAAAACACCTTCCCCCTCCATCCACTCTCTTCCACTTCCTCCCTCCAAGAAGTGCAGGGGAACAGGGAATGGGGGTTATGATCAGTCCCTGATGCTTTGTGTCCACCACTCCTTCTCAGTCCCTCTCTGCCCCTGCTCCCTGTGGGGTCCCTCCCACGGATACCATCCCTCCCCAGCTGAGCCTGCGGGGGCTGCCCAGAGGCAGCAGCTCTCCAAGCACTGCTCCCACACGGCTCCATCCCATTGGAGTCCATCCATCCCCCAGGAGCAAACTGCTCCAGCACGGGACCCCCACGGCTGGGCGGCAGCTCCCCCCAGACCCCTGCTCCTGCGGGGGCTCTCCATGGGCCGCAGCCTCCTCCAGGCCACATCCACCTGCTCCACGGGGGCTCCTCCACCCATGGGGGGGCTGCAGCGTGGAGATCTGCTCCATGGGGGACCCATGGGCTGCAGGGGGACAGCCTGCTCCACCAGGGGCCTCTCCCTGCACAGCCTGCAGGGGAACTGCTGCTGTGCCTGCAGCACCTCCTGCCCTCCTGCTGCACTCACCTTGGGGGCTGAAGGGTGCTTCTCTCACATTTTCTCACTCTTCTCCCAGCTCCTGTTGCACACCATTTTTTCCCTTTCTTCAATCTCCTCTCCCAGAGACACAACCAGCACCACTGGCTCGGCTCTGGCCAGCAGTGGAGTCCCTTTTGGTGCTTGCTGGAAGTGGCTCTTCTCTTATAAGGGGCAGCTGCTGGACTTTTCTCACAGAGTCTCACAGCCTGCAGAAACCCCAGCTAACCTCATCAGGTAACCCTAATAGAGGTACCCATTATACTAATCAGTTCTTGCTCAGATTTTTTTCTCATGTTCCTCTTTCCTTGCTCACTGCGTATCATAGAATCACAGAATGGCTTGCTTGGAAGGGGCCATAAAAATTATCCCATTCCAACTCCCATGCCATGGGAAGGGATGCCACCCACCAAATCAGGGCTTTGACCAACCTGGCCTTGAACACCTCCAGAAATGAGGCATCCACAGCTCCTCTGGGCAACCTGTTCCATTTCCTCACCACCCTCTGAGTAAAGAATTTTCTCCCAATACCTAGACTAAATCTTCCCTCTTTTAGCTTAAAATCATTCCCTCATGTCCTATCATTATCTACCTGAAAAAGGTGGCTCTCTGTCTTTTATAAGTCTCCTTGAAGTACTGAAATGCTGCAATGAGTTGTCTCTAGCGTCTTCTATTCACCAGGCTGAACATCCCCCGCTCTCTCAGCCTTTCTTCATAGGAGAGGTCTGACGGGGCCTTCGTGGCCCTCCTCAGAACCTGCTCTAACAGACCCACACCCTTCTTGTGTGGATGCAGCACTCCAGGTGCAGCACCTCCCTCCACCTGCTGCCCACCCCTCTGCTGATGCAGCCCAGGATGCAGTTGGCCTTCTGGGCTACAAGTGCACACTACCAGCTTGTGTTGAGCCTTTCATCCACCAGAACCAGATAAAGGTCCTTCTCTGCAGGGCTGCTCTCAGTGAGCTCTGCTCCCAGTCTGTGCTCATGTCTGGGATTGTCCCGACCCAGGTGCAGCACCTTTCACTTGCTTCATTAGGTTCACATGGGCCCAATTCTCAAGCTTGTCCAAATCTCTCTGGATGGCGTCCTTTCTGTTGTATCAACTGCACCACTCAGCTCGGTGTTGACTTGTTGTCTGATGCAGTCACTCCATAGAAGGCCACCAGTTTGGTCAGGCAGGATTTGCCCTTGGTGAAGCCATGCTGGCTGTCTCAGATCATCCCCGTATCCTTCACGTGCCTTGACATTGCTTCTAGGAGGATCTTTTCCATTATATTGCTGAACACAGAAGTGAGGCTCACCAGTCTGCAGTTCCCCGGGTCCTCCTTTCTGCCCTTTTTAAAAATGGAAGTGATGTTTCCCTTTTTCCAGTCACCAGGGTCTTTGCCTGAGTGCTATGACTTTTTGAATATGATGGAGAGAGGCTCGGCAACAGCCGGTTCCCTCAGGACCCTGGGATGCAGGTCAAAATCAGATTGTATACTTAGCAAGCTGTTCTGCAGCAGGGAAGGGGGTGAGCTGAGAGAGAAAAGCAACACGAGGTTTTTCTGGATCTTGGTAAGACAGGCTTGACAACAAATGGCTTAATAAAATGGTCTAAGGGCTGGTACCAAGGGGGAAGCTGCCTGCAGGCTCCTCTGGTATGGTGTCCTGCAGCCAAGAGATTTGTGCAGCAAAACACAGCCTGATGGCCACTCTGCATGCATCAAGCATCACAGCACAGGTCTGTGCTCACTCAGGCTACCTGTGATGTGGGTCCTTGATGCACAATGGTCTCCCTGTCAATCAATACATAAATCTGTCCCAAATTAAGGATACCAACCAAATATCCAGACTGTTTTTCCGTGTGCATTGGGCCCTAAGTTTTTCTAAATGTGAGGAAACAATGTTTTTTAATGTCTGCTAAGCTGAAGTTGTTTAGGCCATTAGGACCTCAGTTAGTTCAGCGCCACCATTAACAGAGTAATTTTTGTGAGAGTTACGTAGGAGAGGGCAACAAGGGGTAATAAGAAAGGGAAGCAGTGGTGGGAACCAAGTAAGGTCAGTCACACTAACTGATGAGGGCATGTTTATTCCAGCAGGATGCTCTGGTTGAAGACTTCTAAAGTGGGAGACAATGACACGATACAAACCTCTGTCATGCTAATCGATGGGCTAGCAAGCTGCAGACAACACTTGCAGCCTGGCAGCCAATCAGGTTGTGGACTGAGACCCTCAGACATGGGGGGGTGCAGAAACTGCAGAGCTCTGCAAACCCATGGGGATGTAGTAGGGAAGTATGGGGGAAGGAAGAACACACTGGGGAGCAGGGGGGTATAAAAGGGCCAGTCATGTGTAAAACAGGGCTACTTGGTGCACCTGTCTGGCCAAGTGCACCTAATGACCTGTCCCAAATAATCCTGTAATTTCTCTCAATAAATCATTTCATAGTTATCTCCCTGTAGTTCTGCTCTCCCTCCTGTGTGTGTACGCTGCAAGGACTGCATGCCAGCTACACGTAAAACCTGGATGTGGGTAAGCCAACATCAGTGCCAGCTACTGGGGTCAGGCTGGGGAAGGGGCACGGCAGCCTGTGGTGCCAGCTATCAGTGCGAGTGCAGTGGTCCCAGCACCAGCTGGCAATAGGACCGGTGTGTGTAAGTGGAATTGGTGCCAGCTACCAGAGCCAAGTGGGATCCCTGACCCCCAGCCACAGGGTGAGGCAGTGTGCCCTTCCAAACCAGCTATCAGGAGGCACCAGTGTGAGTGAGGCGAGTGAGGGGGCTCTGCACCGCCAACTGGAGCAGGGCAACAGGCTACATACAGCAGGAGGAGGCAGACGCACTCTCTTCACCAAAAATTTTCACCCACATGCAGTTTGGAAAGAGTTTATTGTACAGACATTATCATATTGCCAACAATCTTCATTTCAGAACAGCAACAGACTTCAGAGGAAGGTGGGTAAGAGTATGAAATACACTTAGGTTTTACTTGAGAAAGTATCTGAAACTGAAAAAACTGGTACTGTTCAAACTCCAACAATTTCAGTGGCCCTCTAGTTCAACCAAATTGAGACATGAAACCCCTCTGTGCTTCATTCACTATTTGGAGTGCCTTACAGAAGAACCACAAGTAACTGAACACAAATACTGAAGCACTGAGCTTGTAAGCAAGAACAGCTCTCTGCTGACACTGAAAGAAGTTTAAGCAGAGTAATGACATACATCTAAAGTATCTCCTTCATAATATTCTAAGGAATATACTAAGATGATTTATTTGCATCAGATACAATCAATCAGGAAGCCTATGACAAGGATTTTAACTTTGACAATTACAATACCTTTATTAATGGTACAACGCAGCAACATCAACTGACGTAAATACAGTTCGTATATAATACAAAAATATAACCCTTCATAAAGTCTGTACTGTGCTAGGAATTATGTACTGAGCTTAAATAGTCGATATACAATGTTTTATCTTAAATAATGTGAACAGACAGGTACACTCAGCCAAATGAACCTAATAACATTTTCTCTAATTTGAAGACAAGCATACAAAGAGCAGTTCATTAGCTCATTGTATCCATACGCCATACTTCACATAGGAGTCAAGAGCAAACAAAGTTTTTTTTCAAGTTTTGCCTTTGCCACTGTTCTCTGTCTATAGTCCAGTGGTTCTACAACCAGAGAATTGAATTTTGGATAGTAGCATTTACTAGCAGATACAGAAAAGTATTACTTGGACAACCAGCTTAAGGCACTATGGTTTCCACAACAGACACACAGAAGTACTGGGGAAAAAACAGAATTCAGCTCTGCAAACCCATGCAGGTGTGCAGAGGAAAGGGGAGCAGGAAGAACAGACGGGGGAGCTATGAGAGTTGAGCTACAGTACCATGACAAACATAAATTTATTCTTTAAATATATATTTGGCAACACATTTAGTAGACTTCTGTGTCTGCTACTTATTCTTCCTAAAAACAGAGAAAGGTAACAATGCCAAAATGTTACAGTCTCAAGAATTCCTACAGCCTTTGCCTAAAAAAAAATTCCCTTCATCCCTCCATTTTAAAATAATAAAAATAATCAACTTTCACTTTTGCAAGACAATCCTTTTACAGATTTTTACATACAGTTCCTAACAAGTTACACGTAAGAAGTCCACTAGGTTGTTTTGTTCTTCTTTTAAAGAAAATATTTTCTAACTGCCGATAAGTGAATTTTCTTCCTAATATTCTCCTTTTAAGAGGCAGAAGCATGCTTAAAATATCCAGGTAAAAGGTAGGAAAGAACTGTCAGCATCTCAATAGAGAAATGTATAACCACCTTGGCTATGCAGATCAAAATGTCTATGCTAACAAGTGCTCGTGCAGAAATGAGCGCCCCAGTTCTGTATTCCTTCTGTCTCTGCTATCAACATCACTGATGAACAACTCATGTGAATCATCTCAAGTTTCTGTTCAAGCTCTTCACAGCAAACAAGTCACCCTGACTCACTCAAGACCTCTTCCTTAGCAATATCCCCTGGTGCTGGCTCAAAGTTAAGACAGTATGAAGCGGAACCAGCATCCTTACAGCACCTGCCACGAAGAAGACTCAGAAAGCTACCTTCTTAAAGCCCTCTTAAACCCTAGACTGAAATGTAGGACCCAGATGGGTTATGAGAACAAGTAAATTCAGAAAGCTATACTACACAAATTGTGCATTCCCAAATTGTATGGGACAGTTCTGTGCATTCCCAATTTGTATGGAACAATTCTGACACAGAACTACAGGTTACATATTGACAGAACTATTTTCAATTTCAGAAAATATTTTGGCCACAGCACAAGCCAGTATCAGAATATGAAGATGACAGTCAGAGCAGCTTACCTAGCTCCCCATGCTGAGCAGAGGATAGAAAAATCTAACAGAGAACAAAAAAAAAACAGGTTTAGATTCACACACGATACATTCTTAGTATTATCCCAAATTACTATTGATTTTGACAATATCACCTCTACTTATATGTGCATACATTTCAGAGTAGCGAAGGGTGCACTTACTTGCAATAAATACGCTATACCTACTACAGTGTTGATGTTTTATTACGTGAATCCCCAAGGGCTGTCATCTGGATATTGATCTGCTCGGTTAACCAAAACTTTGGATCTTACGTATGCTTGGTGTGGAGGGCTTACGGCGTTTTTCTGTACCTTAAACTAACCTTGAAGTCAGTCATTTTATTGTCAATATGAGAATAACCTCAAGATCCTCTTCATCTAGGGTAAATGTCAGCAGCAGATACAAATGCAAAGTTGCCTCTTCTGCCTTAGAGCCCAAAGAGCAGAAGTCTTGTTATAGTATTTCCACATCCTTAGAACCTCAGCCTTTACAGTACATTGACATTCATTTTATCATTCATTTCCTGAATTTCAGTGGAACATTACCTCTGAAGGAAACTACCAGAGGTAATGTACATTACATACATTCTCATATATTTCTGTACAGCTGGCTGTACATATCTCAGATTCCAGTAAATCAATGAGCAGCAGTGATTACATCTATTTCAAATAAAGTTAAAATAAATAATTTCAATTGAAATGACAGTTTAAACCACAACAGCTGTAAAGCACATCAAAAATAAGAACCACAGAGAGTTATTCTTGTTATGGTTATCTAATCATTGGCTTCCTGCACCACAGGAAATTTTTCAATCAATAACAAAACTTCCTAAGCTGCTAGCTACAATTGATATGTAAAAATTATGGAAAATTGGGAAAAAGGGGTTGGAATAACATCTGTATGTTAAAAACTGACGCTCTTCACTTAAGTGAACTCTACACCCCTTCATGCTGAAGAGGTCACAGTTCACTTTAGTCACATTCTATGTGCGCTACTGACTCTAAACAATTGCTAATTTTTAGATACACAATTTATCCAAAAAGAACTAGAACCACTTTCTACTCCTTCTGAACGATTGGGTTTGATCAATTCACTTGTGCAAACTTAAATCCCCTTATATGGTTGATTCCTATCTCATTGCCTCTCATTGCCTAGACAGACATGACAAAGTACCTATGAAAGCAGTGCAAATATAAGAGCTCCACAATAGGAACAAGAGAGGAAAAAAAAAAGCAGGTAAAAAGCTCATCGGTTTGCTCAGTGGTCGTTTACTATTTTGCCTCCTGGCGGATGAAAGAAGTTGTCTTCTTTCACTTTACGATGTTCCGGTAAATCTAGCTGCCTTTTTGCCTCTTCAATGTCTTCCTGAATTGCTGAAATGAGTGCCTCTAAAAATAGAAGAATAGGGATATTTAAAAGCTGATCAGAATTCTAAATACACAATAACAAGAGAAAATATCTTGTTCCACAGAATGACAGAAAAATCACAGAGGTAGAATATAATTATTACAACAAGGTTGGAAAAGCAAAGTTCTTTTTTTCAGGCATGTGTGAGTTTCGTTTTCCACCACTACATTGTTCCAAAATTAATTTTAGAAAAAGATCAAAACAGTTTCGTGAACTGTTTGAATCCTAACAGAACTGCATTTTCAAAAGAAATGAACAGACTAGACCAATGCTTTTATGAGAAGCTCATGATTTTAAAATTACTCCTCAGACAACTGAAATGTAGACTGAAACAAGATGTGGGAGGATTTTTTTTAATTATTATTATTGAACTAACTTATACATTACTACATTTAGCTTATGAAAACATTGTACTGAAAGTTCAAAGGCCAAGAGGTAAAACAGCTCATTGAGAAGAAAAAGAAAGTGAAGACATATTACTTGCATGAATGAAACAATTCTGTGATACTGACCTAAGGAATCAAAGTTTTTTTCTGGTCGAATATACCCAATTATGGCTATGCTGAGAATTTCTCCATAGAAGTCTTCTTTGAAGGTGTGGATAATGTGTGTTTCCTAAAGGAAGAGAAATTAGTTGGCATTTATGATGAACTTGGAACTTTTTCCCCTCACAGTAAGTATGTTCAGCTAATACCTCTAATTCCAATGCACCACAACACATACCAATGAAATTAAGACATTTAATATGTACAATGCAAGATTAGGAGGCTAGTTAAGGCTACTGTGAGAAGGGAGAACCGTACTCTTGCACAGAGTTTAAGAAAGGTTTTTCACCACAGAGTATTCTGATAGCCAAATTAAAAGGAAGAAAAAAAAAAAAGAAATGTTCAAGAGAAATGTTTCACTGCTTCCCAGAAGTAGTATTTACAAAGCAGCAAATAACAAAGAAAGCTTAATCTTTCATTAACTTAATGATGAAAGAACTATGAAGACATACTGAAAAAGCTGGCTTAAGGACAGCTTTTACAAGTAGCTCTGAATGATAAAAATCAGGAAAGTGAATGACAGAAATCCAGGAGTGAAGGCTGAGAAAGGATTCCCCATCCTACGTCTTGCTCAGAAAACACAGCTGCAAAAAATTTGGAGCGTATGTTTATAAAAGTCAAAGGCATCAGAACAGTCATAAACTTAGGATCTTAGAAGGAGAAGATTCATGCCAAGACAAAGGTGCTTTCAACAATTAAAACAGAGCTCTCTGCAAGGCTCAGGAGAAACACCAGCACCTGACAACAAGAAAAACACTGCTGTCACAGCTCAAAATTTACCTCCTCCATCCTGTTATTACACATTTTTGGATACTAGTTCTGTATATCAAGCCACAGCACCACATCTATGGATTCCATCATTTAAGAGAAGGACAGAAAATAATTATATATTAAGATGCCCCCACATCTCTTAGTTTTAATGTAGACAGACAAGGTTAGATCATGCCAGATCATGCTAGGGATCTCAATAACTAGTAAATTCAAAGCATCTATTGAGCATATGCTTACTTAGCTATCAGCACTATAAGCAACCACCGTTTCGGAAACAGATAAAATACTGATCTCTGAAGTACTTAGGCAATGATGGAATAGGACAAAGAAAACAAACTTTGTTCATCTGTGGCTACGTACCATCTGGCTACAGAGACTATTTTCTCTTCAAAACACAAACATATAGGACTGACACCAAATACATTTCTAACAGCAAACAGGATTTCTAGGCAAAGTACTGCACAAAGCAAAGCTCTTACCACAGATTTCTTAGTATTCTTATAGAAAGGATTCCATCCTATGCTCAAAACCATTTTATGCACATCTCCATTTCCAACACAGGCCCATCCATAGTATATACCAGTAGAGATATCAGACGGAAAGCTTTCAACTACTTGCTCGGAAAAGTTCGCTGAAAAGAATTTTAGAAAGGGTAAAGCGTAAGTGACCTTGTGGAACTCCAGGGCATCACAGAGCCCCCAAAGACTTAAAATTTCTGCCTACAGATTGAAGGCTTATGCATGCGGTGATGACTGTGATGTAACATGCTGCTTAGCAAGACATGACATATACAACAGCTCCGTAGGATTCAGCCCCCGTGGCGATACCAGCGCTATCAGATCTCCCGCACGTGCTGTTTTACATATTAGTGAGCACATGGGGAGCGCTCAGGTGGTAAACACTTCACGATCAGGGCGACCGCTACGGCTTTAATAAGGTCAAAATCAAACAACTGCTTCACAAGCACGTACAAAGGCGTGAAAGCACCACCACCACCACCACCCGCGCCCAGGCAGCCGAACCCCTGCCCAGCCCCACACGCCCTGCCCGCGGCGCCGCCGTGAGGCGCTACACCGAGCGGCCCGGCGGCGGTTGAACGGCCCAACGGCCGGCCCAACGGTCAGTCCCACCCGCCCGCTCACCGGTGGGGACGCCGAGCTGCCGGGAGCCCCGCCCGAAGCCCTTCACCACCTCTCCGCGGCAGAAGTACGGCAGCTGCCTCATGGCCGCGCCGCCGCCGCTCGCCGCTCACCGCTTCCTCCTCCTCGCCCAGGGCGACGCCAAGCCGGGAGGAGGGGGAACAACAGCGGGGAGCGCCCCGGCGCGCAGCCCGCGCAACGCGGCGGAGGGTGCCTGCCCCCCCCCACCCTCTCCGCCAAATGGGCTCGGCCAAGCGCTGGCCCCGCCCGGCCGGGCAGGGGGCGGCCGCTGCGCCGCGTGAGGGGCGTGGTGGCGGGCGGCGCCTCACGGCCAGGCAGGAGCCGGCGCTGCCCGCCAGGTGGCACGCAGCCCCTGCCGGCCCTCAGACCTGCAGGAGGCGTAACAGCACAGCAATAGAGCATATATAATGTAATAGAGCATCTATAATATCAATAAGAGAGCAGCGCGAAGGGCTGCGCCAGGAGCCGCGTGGTTAAACGTTGCCCCGAACTCTTCACTGGCGGCTGCTGTTTGTCAGAGCCATCCTGTCAAGCGGTCGTCCTGCTGATCGGTTTCCTCTCGTTGCGATACCTTGCTGCGATTCAGCCAAGATTTAATCTGTCCTTGATGCGAGGCATCCTTATTTCACACTTGATCGCACCTAGCTCACACTGGAGGTGGGGATCTTGCACAAGTAAAACTTGGTTACCTGACCTGAAATGTAGCAGAGCTAGCAGGCATTTTTCATCAAAAAGCCCGTCTGAATTTCAGTGATGAGCGTGTCTGCTAGCACTGTCAAAAGACCAGTTTGATAGCTTCTACCTGCCTGTAACTTGAAAGCTCCAGTGCCGTTTCATGCAGCTACAAAGGAACTTCTCTTCCTTGCTTATAATGAGTAATCTACAGCTATTGTTGTTGGTAATAAGTTCTTAAATATTTTCATTGTATATATATGCAACCACAGAAAACAGAATAAAGAGAACAAGAGCACGTGTTGAGTCATCTGTGTAGGCCCCGTGCCAGGTTACCTGATTAAATACAAGCTTTGTGGACTCATCATACTAACCAGCATTTATTGCACCGCTGAACATATTCTGTTCATCATTTCATAACGAATCGTGTGACTTGTATCACAACACAGCCTCTGTCTCCTGTCACCATACTGCAAAGGGGTAGATTCCTAGGCATGGCTTACAGTGAAATATCCGGTTTCCTCCATGTAAAGTGGGGGAAAAAAGCAATCAAATATCTGGTGGATGCTGGGATATTCTAGGGCTGCCCTGGCCAAGCTGGAAATTCTGGTCACACTGGGCTCTGATGAAATATTCAGGAGGTAACTCAGTGAAAAGAGTGCCATGTAGTAAAACTAGTAGCACTTTAACCAGCTCCTTGGAAGTTTCCATTCCCAGCATGACAAAACTCTCATTGATTCAGGAGTTCAATCCAAGGACACTCTGGCACGCCTTGCTTTTAGTGGGCTGAAACCAGGTGGTGAAATCAGAGTACAAAGTAATATACAAAACAGCCTTGCAAGAATGTCTAATAAGCGTAGCTGCTTCAAAATTATTTTTCTGTACTTTAGCCTGGAACAGCCAAACACAGGATGTTTTTGTTTGTTTATTTTTTAACAGTCATTTTTTTGTTCTATTTGAAAGGAACGTGTTCTTTTATAAAATAACAAATTTGTGTGATGGCTAGCAAGACTGCATTATACGACAGGAAAGTGATGTAATAGGATAGTGACAAGTACTATCAATGTTAGCATCATAAAACAGCTGATATAATCTACTGAACACTTTCTGGTAATTGCGGAAGATTCTAGCAACTACCATTTGCATGTTACAAAATAACATGTGACATACAAAGCTTGTCTGATTACTTACTGGTGCAATTCAGATGTTGCAGAAATATGACATAACTGTGTAGCACCTCATGCTTTTTGAAAGTTTGTATTTGGTTTGAAAGTTCATGTGTGTTCAAAAGTTGCCCTCAGCTTTTTCCTTCTTAGTGCCCTTTCTCCACACTGAACCCTCAACTGGCTTCATGAAAAATGCACAGCACCGCTTTCAACTAGCTCAGCTGCCCTCACTGGTCTTTGCACAGCATTGGATCATGCCGTGTAGACATACCTCATGGTTAGCACCAAATTCTGTATGTTTTAAAGCTGCTGAAGAACACAAGCTTTCTTCACAGACTACACGCATTTTACAGCCGTCCCTAGAACAGGTGTCTCAGTTTAAGCAGCTGTGATCTCACTAGTTGTGATAAGGCTGAATCATGCCGACCCAGATCAACATGTTTGAACCAGTCTATCACGCAGTATAAGAGCAATTCAAAGTTTGATGTAGATTTCTAACCTGCTATGAAACAAAAGATATAATTCAGCCTGATTAGTGGTTTGGTGCAATCTTGAGGGAGAATCCTACCCACAGAGGTTTTGGTAACAAAAGAAGTCATACAGAGCAAGGTATCTCAGGCAGCTTCCATTCCTAAAGATGAGTAAGTAATATTCTCATCTGTTTGAGAGTCTGTGTTCCAAAATACCTTGAATTCCTTGGAAAACAAAACAGATTGGTATCAGGATTCTCACAATGAAATGTAGAAAAACAAGACTGTTGAGATGTCAGAGAAGTTGTTTGGGAGTAGTTTGCTGTGTCATCAGGAGTTGTGCAATACCTTGTGGATGAATAGATGCTAGGGAACTCATAAGTTAGTGCCAAGATTGTTCTGATCAGTAATCCCGGGAAAATGGCATGCAAGAATGTGTTAGATAAAGCAGGTAGCTGTGAGAAGTTACGAAAATCATAAACAAATACAGCTAGATGGGTATTGGTTTTCCAACTCCAATGTAAATAAATAAATAACTTAAATCATAGGATATCCCAAATTCGAAGGGACCCACAGGGATCATTGAGTCCAACTGCTGGCTGTGCACAAAACCATCCAAAAACCTGCCTGTGTCTGAGAGCGTTGTCCAAACACTTCTTGAATTCCAGCAGGCTCAGTGCCATGACCACTGCCCTGGGCAGCCTGTCCCAGTGCCTGACCACCTCTGTGTGCAGACCCTTTCCCTGTCCCCCAGCCTGACCCTCCCCTGTCCCAGCTCCATGCCATTCCCTCGGGTCCTGTCGCTGTCCCCAGAGAGCAGAGCTCAGCGCCTGCCCCTCCGCTCCCCTCGTGAGGGAGCTGCAGGCCGCCACGAGGCCTCCCCTCAGCCTGCTCTGCTCGGGGCTGAGCAAACCAAGGGACCTTAACTGCGCCTCATATGTCTTGCTCTCCAGACCCTTCTTTGTAGCCCTCTTTTGGACTTCTGTGTCCTTTTTGTACCATGGTGCCCAAAACTGCACCCAGCACTCAAGGTGAGGTTGCACCAGCACAGGGCAGAGCAGGACAATCCTTTCCCCCCACCAGCTGGCAGTGCTGTGCCTGACACACCCCAGGGTACAGCTGGTGCTTTGGGCTGCCAGAGCACACTGCTGGCTCATGGTCAGCTTGCTGATGATCAAAACCCCCAGATTCCTCTCCACAGAGCTGCTCTCCAGCCTCTCATCCTCCAAGTCTGTACATACAGCCAGCGTTACCCCATCCCAGGTGCAGAATCCAGCACTTGATCTTGTTAAACTTCATATGGTTGATGATTGCCCAGCCTTTTGGTCTGTCGAGATCTCTCTGCAAGACCTCTCCACCCTGAAGATGGAGAGCTCCTCCTAATTTAGTGTCATTAGGCTCCTCCTAATTAAGTGTCATCTCTAAAAGTTACTTAGTGTGCATTTGTCTCCCGTGTCCATAGCAATTACAAAGACGGTAGAGAAAAGGCCCTAAAATAGAGCTCTGGGGAACCCCACTATTTTGGATTGGTGAATCTGGATAATTTCATTTTTCAATGAATTACACAGCAAAAAAGAATTAATTAATAACTTTTTTTTTTTTTTTAATATACTGTTCTGATGTGGAAAGTATTTTACTCTTAATTCCCACTTTCCATGGAAAAGAAAAAAAAAAAAGGAAGACAAAGGTACTAAAAGCTTACAGGAAAGGGCTATTTCTTGCAGGAAATAGCTTCTTAGAAGGGAGTAAGCTGAAGTGGGAATGAATATAGAGATAACAGGATATTTGATGTTTATGATAGTACAGAAGTTTGGGAACACTTTAAAAAAGAAAATAAGCCAGTATGTCAAAACTGTCTGTCTATGCCACAAGAATAAATTTCATGATGACAAAAGGAATTAAAATGAAAAGTAAAAAATAGTGAGTACTGGTCCCATTTATGGGTTTTATTTAGAAGCGCCGGGAAGAACAGATCCCTTCTCAAAACCACAAAAAAAAAAAAAAAAACAACATGTTGCCCCAATGGTAGATTTGCATTTTTTATGTCCAGGAACTATCTGCATTGTCCTCATTTCTCTTCTCTTTATGAAAGCTGAAGAGGCCTTATGAATTTTCATTACAAGAGAGAAACATTTTTCTCCTACGCAAGAGCATCATAAAGGGCAGAAGAATAAATAGTGTTTCTAATGACTGATATTGCAGGGAGGAGAAGACAAAGGAAATGGCTAAATTTTTTCCTCCTTGCTAATTATCAGTGTTTAAAATCATTCTCTTACCTTCCCTGTGCTCACCATTACGGCCTTGTTCACACACTAACAAATGACTGAGCAAAAAATAAAAGAGAGATTCTACTGAAAATTACTAATTACAAAAGGAATGTGGAATTCATAATATTCCTGCCATCATGAGTATACTCCCAATCTCATGTAGGGCATGTCTGCATTTGTTACAGCACTATCATCTATGCAAGTAAACCACACATTCATTTAGCAATCTGCTTTCTGCTGCATTTTGAAGAAATAGAACTAGTTCATGCTTGCTACTGCAAAGTGCCCTTTCTGAATGCATGCTATTTGCAACCACATTATCTTAATACAGGATATATTTGCACAACAGTGAGGGAAAGGTTAGCCATGATTTCTGCTCTTGTCTGTTGGGCTACATTACAATTGCTGCACACATGATCCTAATATTCCTTCTAGCAGCTTTTGCCAGACCAGTCCATGCTGTGAGCAGAGGAGTTACACAGCTCCTGCTGAACGAGTCTGAAAAAGTTGCCTCACTGTCACTTGCCTTGCTAGTAAACCTGGCCTTATGCTGCTCTACTGATCTGTTTGGGATTTATGTGGGAAGGACACGGTAGCAGGGAGGCTGCAGGGGTGGCTTCTCTGAGCAGAGCCCAGCAGCTGCCCCATGTCAGATCAGAGTCAGCTCCAGACAGCTCCAAAAGGGACCCACCACTGGCCAGACCCGAGCCACGGAGCAATGCTGGTTGTGTCTCTGGGAGAGGAGACTGAAGAAAAGGGGAAAAAAAAAACCTGCTGTGCAACAGCAGCTGGGAGAGAGAAGTGGGAAGCAGCCCTGCAGCCCCCAAGGTGAGTGCAGCAGG